ATCGCGGCCACGCTGCCGCAGCTTGCAGTGGAGGATCGACAACAGGCGTTGGGGCCGGTGACGATTTGGAGCGTCGAGTGTTGATTCATGTTGATTCTAAGGATGCATGGACTTCTTAATTCTTAAAGAGCGGCTGAGCCTCTCCAAAGAGGCATATGCTGATAGATAAGAGACAGGTGTTTGGCAAAGGGGCCCAACTTGAATGCTAGATGCTTGACCATAAGTGTACAAAAAGTACAACTGGTGAAGGCACGCGGGAGTTCAGCTGATGCAAAAGGATTGCTATTGCACTGTAAAGACAAACCGTTCAATTCGAGACAAACTGGGGTCCTTGAAGAGGAAGCCCCTCATGTAACGACCACCAGTGGTCGTTTGACCACTGAAGCACCGAATGAACGGGTAGTTTTACAACAGCTTAGTGTCCCGTGGGTTTGTTGCGAAGAGATTCTCGGCAAATTGGGCCCTTAAATTCAGATGGATGTCATGTTTGAACTGAAATCAGGAGAAAGATCGAGAAAGGTCAGGTAGATCTTGGAGGGGGTGGTGTTGCATGGTCGTGCTGGTGTTTTCTGCCTCGGAAACTCAAATCTGACCCAGTAAACCGCCACCCACACAGGTCTTGGACGCGAATCTGATCAAGCCGCGACTGGAGTTGGTCCTCAATCTGGTGCCTCACTGGCAGATGGCCGGACATTCGGGGCTGGGCAGAACTTATTTTGCTGGCTCTTTGCGGTAGCTGCGGTTGATTGAGAAATGGAAGTCGCGTGACTGCTATCAGATGTCAGAGTTGACGGTCCGAAGGGGTTCTTAGGATTTCGGATTTCTTAGGCGCATTTTCCACCCAAGTGTCCAGAAGCGCATGCGTTTGCTTGAGCAGATGTTGAAGAGCTTCGCACATCCAGCTGGAAATGACTGCATTTAGACAATCCTCAATCCTGTACAATCATCTTTTACAAAAGCTCTTTGTACAATCGGAATCGGAGGTGGCTTTGACAGATGGAGTGAAACATAGTGAAACCATTGCTATCCAGTGCCAATGTGATGGGGCAACAGAATCAGTCAATATCAGTCACCTTTAGAAACGGCGTGCAGCTACGTGTGAAGATCTTGCAAATCTATATAAGCACATTCAAAAGCGCTTTACATGGGATTGCTATGAGGACCTGCGTGTTTAGTTTGTTGGGGCGGCCGGGAATTGGGTCTGTCCTGAATGAGATCCAGGTGCATCAGGTTTCCCAGATCCACCAAATCTCGAAGAACATCTCCGACCAGGTGCGGACGCAGAGCTTCAGTTGATGCCAATGAGATCCTTTGCTCAGAGGTTACAACTGAGAAAGAGCACAACGTATCCAGGCATCACCTTGTCAAGACCAGGATCCAGCACTTCAGCAAGGTGGTAAAGCCATTCTTTTGCGTCGGAAATCACCACCCAGGAAGTCGTGGATCGTTGCCATTTCCAATTCCAATTTTGGCGTCAACGCTTCAGGAAGACAAACGACTTTGGGGGGATTTGGGTGATGCTGCAGGCCAGCAACCAGATTGTGGCTTTGGTGGTCACGGTCACAGCTACACTTTCTGTAACAGGATATGGTTTTCCCGCACATATACTGTATATATATATATATACTTATATATTTACTACACATGCGTATATATCCTATATACTATACGATATAATGATATATGTATTCTTTTTCTTTGTCGGTTTGTTCCTTCAGGTAGGTTAACTTTCTGGGACCTGGTGAGCCGGCGATGAACTTCCGCAGGTGCAACAAAGGTCCAGTGAGGAGTTGCGAGAGACCGTGCTGAGGCAGAGCCGACTGGGTTGCTTCATAGTCGATCGCGCTTCCCACTCCTTGGTATCGTTGGTCTTGGACAGTTCAGATCGCTGGGCCGCATATGGCTGGATCAATTCTCAACTAGAGGGGTTCCATGTGGTACTTGGAACTTGTTCTCCGATAATAGAGCCAGCAAAGGACAGGGTAGAGCTCTGAAGATTCAGTGAAGAGAACCTTCACAGCAAAATTCAGTGGAATGCAAATGGTTTATTGATCAATTGGATGAAACAAACTTGACTAGGAATAGTGATGAAAAAGTGACTAGTGTCATGAAAAAGTGCAAAAAGGCCATGTTTGGTCAGTTTGCAAAGTGCCTCGAGGCGGCAGTTGTTGGAGCTGAACCGCGAGATGCGGAAGCTCCGGGATGACGGTCGTGCCTCGGACTCAGAGTCCGACGAAGGCACACCGGACGGACTCTGCAGCGTGCTTTTCGGTCGTTGTGAAATGGTTTGAAGTGGGGTGGAAAGGCTTTGCACATGACAAAGAAGAGGATAGAGTCTATTGGACTAGAATTGAAAAGACTTAGGCTGTTGTTCCTTGGTTTCTCTCAGAAACGGCTTCGCCATGGCAGATGTGCACGGCTTCGCGGATGACGAGGGTGAGGAAGATCAGGTTGCCACACTGCGGGAGGTGCTCCGGTTGGGTCCGACCTTGGGAGGTCTGAAAGACGGAGTCCAGAGTCCGGAGTCTCAGTACCTGAAAAAAAAAATTAACATACTATATACATCAGTTGTATCAATACTTGGTATACCCCAAAAGAGCGCCCTGACAGACATAGAAGACATAATCTGAGGATCGAACAGTGTTTTGTGTTAACCGACACCTGGGTGCCAATGAACTACGGTTCCCGAAGCGTAACAGCGAGTTCCTTATGGACATCACCAGCCTGTTGAATTGTCTATTCTCACTTTATGTGATTTTCACTGGTGATGGAAACTACACGGTTGGGATACCCCTGCTCAGCACCGGAATTGAAACCCGAGTGACGAATGCAGTATGATAGAGTAGTACATCTGGGTGGGTAAGGATAAATCTGGACATATGAGTCAAAGTATCAAGAGCGAACCTTTCAACACATTGAGGTTCCCGATTCCGGGTCATACCCAGTATGCTATGGTATCCATAAGAGGCTACATCTCGCAGTTCAGCTTGTTCTCTATGGAATCTCAAACAAAGGTCCGACCTCTTCTGTTGATGAGCCAGCAAGCAAGCCAAGTCTTTACACGTGACAAGCAGCTAAGTAGCTTTCCAACAGCCAAGCATTGTGGCTTACAACACGTGCACATAGGCTAAGGCTAAGTCGGATACAGGTCTTGTTTCTCTTAGGTCTTAGGTGTCAGATGAAAGTCTTTGAGATTGACACAAAGCTATGTATATTGATGATGTTTCCCTTTTTTATGTTTGATTAAACGTTCATGACAACAACGAAATCGCTCGCTCCATAAGCGCCACCGATGGAAGGCGCTAAAGAAGGCGCAGCTGAGCCCCGAGGCCGAGAAGATCGCCCAACGGGAGCTGAGGTGCGCATTTTGCCGATGTGATGACTGGAACTTGAAGGTTCAGTCTCCGGTCAGGTGTGTAATGGTGTGGTGTGACGGTTGGGCTGTGTGTTGCTGATGTTGAAGAGGCAACACTGTCTACAAAGCACCAGCAAGTGGCAGAATTTCTAGAAGAAGATTAAGTGCCAATTGCTGCGTCAGGAGTGAGTAGGTTCCTTTTCAGTTCCATAAGTATAGTCAGGTCAAAGTGGGCGTTATTTGGTGCGCATTGATAGATGAGGTGCAGCTTAGCACGTCGAATATCCCTGTTCAATCCAGTTCATTCTGCAACCAAGGCCCAAACTGCAGGACATCCCCACCAAGTGAAAACTGCGTAAGCTTCAATAGCCCTTCGTTTCGAATACAGTGCTGCATCACTCACATGTTCCACCGCCCTCACTGACTCAGGCGTTTGCAGAACATCCAACCGCATCACCCGGAGCACTCAGTGTGCCGGAGCTATCTGGACCGGATCTGGGAGGGCCATTGACAACTTCTAACCGGGCACTTACAGTTACAGGATGTTTGGATCGACCAAGCTGCTCGAGACTCAATACCTTTAGACAAACATGTGCAGAAGAAGAGCTGCGGTGATTCAAACAGGATAGGATGGTAAGGGGAACTGGGAGGGTGCGGAAGATCGTGTCTTGTTGTCAGGAGACCTTGGCAGGACTTCCATGGGCCTTGAGCTCCAAAGTCTCTTGGCTTACAAGAAAGGCGTGATGTGTGGAGGGTATGAATGGCAGGGCCTTGGACACATACATATATATATACATATATTCCAGGCAAGCTGAAGATTTAACAATTTGCTGAATCCTTTTTATGGGCATGGGCCACAGGGAAATTTATCGGTCCACTGAGGATTTCTTGAGGATCCATGTGCACTCTATCAAATATGATCTTAGTTTTGGTGATTTAGTGATTTGATGTGATTTGTAGATTTCGAAGAAGCTGCCCTCCCAGCCTTTATGTGCTTTTTATATGTATTGAACTGCCAGCACTGGGGGGTCCTGATCGTGCAGTTGGGAACTTGGATGTTTCATCCATGGTACCTTCCCTGAGCATCCCAGGGTGTTGATCTCTCAAAATGCTCTCGTGCACTGTATGCTGGAATGCCCAATGGAAAAGGATAACGATGAGTCTGACTAGTCTAGATTAATGGAATCTATGTGAGTCTCAAGGCTTACACTGTGACATCAGGAAACCATTCCCGTCTCCTTCAAACCTCGGGGGCTGAGGATGACTTGGATCTGAACACTGCACAGAGCATCCTGGAGAAGGACCGGTTCCTGAGAGTTGTCCATGTGGTTTGGAGTTCAAGCCACAGACTGGAGTTCCCATGCCCAACTGGTATGGTGAGTAAAGATGTTTGATGTATCCAAGTTCCTTTTGGGTGAGTTGGAGCATTGTTGAAAAAGACGCTCATTACAAGTGCAGTGCGCTTGCTAATTTACTGGCAATGTGACTCAATGACACTTTGCTACTTGAAAACTTGTCAGACCTTCGATCAATATATTCCTGTCTCAGGTTGTTACTGGTTCTTGGGAATCCCAGTGGCACCCAGGATCACTACGGCCTAGAAAAGGTGAAGAGAAGAATTCTGGAGTTCTTGGCCGTACAGAAAATGCGGAAGGTGCGATGCTTTCCAGAGCGCTTTCAGTGCAACACAGTGGATCGATGCATTGTGTGTGTGCGTGTGTCTTGTTGTGCAAGTGCATTGAGCTTAGCGACCGTCAGACATTTTTGCATAATGTGCTCTTAAATGGTTTACGAGCAATTGGGCTTCCTCAAGCGTGCATGAATCCTCCTGGGCTATCGTGGGCTATCGTGGGCTGTGTGTCTAGAAAAACGCTGAGGATATGAAAGGTCCCATCCTTTGTCTCCATGGACCACCGGGCGCCACTTGCTTCAATACGCTCGAGCTGTTTGGACAATGGCAGACTGGGCCCCGGGATCCCAACGAAGAGCTTGATGGAATTGAATGGTTTTGCTGCAAACCCGCATCAGTGGCACAGTCATGAAGCAATCCTGGTTGTCAAAAAAGGAACGACGTCAAATTAATTTAGTCGACGTTCAAACGTCGGCTTCAGAGATCGTTCAATATTTGAAACACTACTAAACCCCAAGTGCGAATGCGCGACTACGGAGCACTGACGGGTCCATTCACATAGCCTCGGCGGCTTCGTGCTGAGGTCGGGAAGACCTCCCTAGGGCGCTCCGTGGCCAAGGCGCTGAACAGGAAGTTCCACCGCATCGCACTAGGAGGCACGGGTGGCACGGGGTGTGTGTGTGTGTAACCCTTGGAATCATAGGGGTCCTTTTGGATTTTTCAGGTTTGTCTTTCTGTTTTTATTTCACAGCAGGGGGTAGCGGCAGATCACTTGGGACCGCTACCAACGAAGACGCCCATTTGATCTGGTGAAATCAGAGTTGGCCACTCTGACGTACCTGCTTTATTTTTAAGATTTGCTGAGTTGAGCTTGAGATTCTGCAGACATGCACGACACGCCGTCACTTCGACCTGATCGCCGACCTCGATCTTGCGCCTTGGGCCACCTTTCCTCTTGAAGACCTCCAGGCTCCGTTGGTCCTTACTGGTACTCTTAGGAAATGGAACCCTAGGCCGGCGTGTGGCACCGCTTTCAGTTCAGTACACCCTATCCTAAGTGTGTTTGGCTTCGTGCCAACCCGGGATGAGCCCGCAGAGTGCCTCCCGTGGACCCGTTGAACGGGGGTTTGTCCATGTTCCCCCGGCTCTGGGAACGCAGATGTCCACAGCGGACAGTAGATGGCTCATGCCTCAAGCAGTGGGATTTTTGTTTCATCTTTGGAATTCCAAGTTGGCTCATGCCTGTACGTGACCATAGCGGTCAAAGCAGCCAGCCATTTCGGCAGGGCACAAGGTGACCACAGCGGTCAAAGCAAGTTTAAGGTCCATTGGGACCTGTCGCAACCTCGGATGCACACACAGCGTGTACATTGAAACGAGGCAGGTCACCTAGGTCGTTGCAATGAGGCTTGGTCTCATCGGCTTCCGTCCCCTCCATTTGGTTCCCCTTTCACCACTTCCCCTTCACACCTTTGTTTCCTCCTTTCTTTCATGTCCTCCTGTCTTCATGTCTGGTCATCTCATCCTTTCCTTCGTTTGCGTGCACATTGGTCCCGGCCTTAGTGTGTACGTGCACTTTTACATACCTTTTAACACAGGCTTCAGGTCGCCCAGGTCTTTACAATGAGGTGGGTTTCATCGGGTGTCCCTGTACACTTGGTTCCTTTCTCATTTCAACCACACACACCTTTGTCCCGTCTCGTCCTCCTGTCATGTCTTCATTCTTTTGTCTTGCGCGCGCACACGTACACATTGGCCCTCACCTTAGTTTTACGCCTCCCTTCGGGGTGTGTGTGTAACCCTTGGAATCATAGGGGTCCTTTGGGATTTTTCAGGTTTGTCCTTCTGTTTTTATTTCACAGCAGGGGGTAGCGGCAGATCACTTGGGACCGCTACCAACGAAGACGCCCATTTGATCTGGTGAAATCAGAGTTGGCCACTCTGACGTACCTGCTTAATTTTTAAGATTTGCTGAGTTGAGCTTGAGATTCTGCAGACATGCACGACACGCCGTCACTTCGACCTGATCGCCGACCTCGATCTTGCGCCTTGGGCCACCTTTCCTCTTGAAGACCTCCAGGCTCCGTTGGTCCTTACTGGTACTCTTAGGAAATGGAACCCTAGGCCGGCGTGTGGCACCGCTTTCAGTTCAGTACACCCTATCCTAAGTGTGTGTGTGTGTGTGCGCGTGTGCTGTGGCGCCCGAAACTCGAAGGTACACGTGGTCAATGCGGATTTGAAGAGTGTTGTCCTTTAACTTAACAGGCGATTCGTTCGCTCACTTTTCTCCTCCAACAACTGCGTTGAGGACAGAAATCACTCCCCAAGAGGCCTCTAGTCCACGTCCTACCTCCTACAGAAACTGTTTGGCAAAGAGTAATGTAAAAGAACCTTGATATGCTAGATGGTTTTGGATGATTCAGTCACAGACTCCATCTCTTGAGACACCATGTATATTTTCTTGAGGCTATTAGTTTCTTTTTTTCTCCGCAAGAACAGGTGACAATCAGGGCAATTCCTCTCCTCAGTCGAACCTACCCAGTTGGGTTGAACTGAGGGAACCATGTCTTTTCACATCAAGAGACACTGGACCTCAGGAAATATACACAGTGTCATACAGTATCTATATAGCTGATGCTTGATTCCCCACACCTGTCGATTCAGTGCACTGGCCAGCTTCTCTCCTACGTGCGTGTGAGGCCTGCGAGACGAGGCGGAGATCCGAGGCCACCGGCGGACCTACATTGGCAGCATGCCGGGTGCCATCATGCAGGCCCAGGGGTTCAAGCAGGTTTGATGAAATTTTTGATGTTTTTTGCCTCTGGAGCATGTTGCCTCAGTTGCCTCATTGGGGAACCAGGAAAACTTGGAAGGTCCCTGGTCGGCAAATCCGTGCAGGCCTTAGCCACGCTGCAGGCACGTCCAGCGTGGGAGGTTTGTTTGTGGAGTTGGTGTGTTAGTTGCGTTTGTTTGGTTCGATTGGGAGTCGTCAATGACCAGACTCATCAGCGACCCGTTGGTTGCCTTAGTCAGCAGTTTAGTGTGGGTCGGAGGCAAAGATCAAGATATAGCTAAAGAATAAATTCTCTCCAAAGGGCTCGATAGATGGACGGAGTGAGTTCACTCTGCCACCATGGTCCAAGTAAGCAAGATCTACCCACAAACCCAGACATGTATTGACGTGTGAAGGGTGAAGAGGATCACAAGCATGGGGTTCCTCTAGTGAGAGTTCTTCCCATGTTGTGATGCTGGTACTGCTCTCTTCCTGGAGGCCGTACTTGTTCCGCCATCTGTGAAGGGCTTCGAGGGTGACCCAACGGATCCCAATTGTCGACATATTTAGTAACTGAGGAAACCGGAATGGCCTTCCCTAGGACCCAATTCAACGCAACAACTCTGTACATATCAAGATGAAGACACCTAAACCATCGCATGAATCTCTCAGATACGCCAAACGTATCCAAAAGCCATGGTCGTTTCCTTCCACCCTTTGGAGACCTCTATTTCTTGATTGGACTCCGAGGTGAATAATCCAGTGATCTTGTTGGACGAGATCGACAAGCTCACACGCAACGCGATGTTCAATCCTTCGGGTGCCATGTTGGAATTGCTGGACCCTGAACAAAACCACACCTTCAAGGAGCTACTAGTGCTGCCAGGGCTAGCTAGGCCGGTGGGGCTAGGAAGACCTAAACCTAAGGAAGACGCGGAGGTCCTTGGTCCAGGCTCTTTCATTTATGGTTGGAATGGGGAGGTGCACACTTTTTACCCCAGGGCAGGACAGAAGATCCAGATCTGTTCTGATTATCTAATTTGGACATTCCTCGTATCTAGCCAGGAAGGAGCTTGGATACAAATCGCTACCTCGCAAAAGTGCATTCTTAGATCGAAAATCCACATTTTCATGACCCAGGGCTGGGATTTCTGCCAGTCAAATCTAGACCATCACGGCTTACAGTGGTGAGCTTGGGATTCATCCCGAAGGACCACTACATCAACACCCCTTTTGACTTGTCGAAGGTGCAATGGAAGGGGTCGCCGGAATCGCTGTGCTTTTGGAGGGGCTGCAGTACAGTGGATGGTGGAGAAAACAAGTCTTTTTTGGCCCATTGGTTGATGTTGTTTGAAAGCAAATGACTGTAGACCAAGAGTCTGTAGCCCCTCACAGGCTCCAATGGTTGAGGCAAAATGATTAAAACATGTGAAACCCTGGGCATTGTTATTGACCCATCTCCAGATGTAGGAAACAACCGTGATTTGATTGATCTTGATCGTTTTTGGTGTTATTTGATGTTATTTTTGGCTGGTGCTGTTTGACAATAGCTGATGGTTGTTTGAAAGGGAAGACTGAACAAAGGATTCAAAGGCTCAGTTGCACGTGTGGAAGGTTCTTGGGGTTGAAACATGGGACATCGTTATCCATCAAGAGTGAAACGACAACCTGTCAGATTCACAAGTTGTTGCCAAACTGTAGGCAGACTTGAATGCTGAACGGAACCACCCAGGACTTGGGTTTTTGAAAAAGGCCCCCTGTGAATCTCAGTTGCCACACAGTCTGAGGAATCTGGGTTCTGGTAGAGTCGTAGAGGACCACTTCCAACCTACTGCTTGCTCGTCCATTGGCTTTTGCAGAAAAGCCTGTCAGAGTCTGGACAGGCTCAGCGCTCAGCAGTCTGACAGCAGGTGTTGTTCCTTTGCACCTGCAACCAGTTAGACACCATCGACCGGCCGCTCTTGGATCGGATGGAGGCAGGGCGCATTGCCGGATGAGTCAGGGTGGCGACAGACCGAGCACGGGTGGCCACAAACAGGCATTGATTGGTTTCTTATGCCCCTTTACCATCCAATTGTAGACTGGGTCTACTTTGTGGGCAGACCACCCTGTTTGTATGCCTGTGAAACTAGCACAGAGTTGACCACTTTGGACCATCCTTCACAACCTGCCTGCGAGAGGTTTTATGAGTATTTGGTGCTCGCGCCAGGAGGTTTCCTTCTTTCCAAGGGGTTCGGTGGTGACCCATGAACGTCTGGGCCAGGTCATTGAGCTCTCAGGCTACACCATGGAGGAGGGATAGAGTGGGCTGGGGCTGGACGGGTGCGCAACAATGAATCTGATGGGTTTGCGTTGATCGATTAGGGGCTCATATATCAGACCGTCGTCTTCGACTGTTTGGCATCCCATGTTTAGCACACATCCATGAAACACGCATGCTAGGCCACCCCAGTTCCTTCTAGCGTCTTCATACAGGAAACACCCGATGTAGCCACCACAGACAGAAAAGGATTCGGCCACTACAGGTATAGATTCTTTGTGAGGGCTAGTGCAAAGTGAAGAGTACGTCAGCAAAGTTTAGCAAGGCTTTTCTATTTCTGGGTCTTTGATTTCCCAATGTTGATCTCACAAGATTGCAAGGAGAAGGTACACATTGCCACCACTCATTTGTTGCCGAAGCAGAAGCGCAACTTGATGGCACTGTGGCACTGTATCGGTTAGTTATCCCTGTATACGAATTGCACCGCATCTTCATTTTTAAGTGTCCTGACACGAAACCTGCCCAATGAGTATGGGCACCGGAACAGAAGTTACCAACACCATCCAACACCTTTATCCTTTGTCCAATAGAACAGCTGCGGATTACAAGCTTGTTTGGCACGACAGACAGACCATGACAGACCGACCACCTACGCAGTCCTGCTCCGCTCATCTGAGGCATTCACGGCCTTGAGAAGGGCGCTGATGACGACCATCCGCCCGACGCAGCGGCCTCCGGATCCCGCCCGGTCGAAGCCGAGCCGGCACCGGAGCCGGAGCCGAGGACGGTCCCGACTGGGTGCACTCCGTGTGGGTGAACCAGAAAGCTCCAGAAAGCCCCCACAGATCGAAGATGATCGAAGATCAATTCTCTTTTAGGTGTTTCCTCCCAATTCTAGGATAGCTGTGCGTTTGTGTCTTGCAGTTGGATCCGTTGGTCTGAAGATTTGAAGAGTTTCAGCAAAGAGCACAATCCTGGCAACACAAGGGCCATTTTCTTTTTGAGGACGGCACCCCTGCCGGAGCTGGTGATGACGCAGGAGGCCATCCGCGAACTGATCACCAAGTGGACAGTGGAAAGCCTCTTGGCTGTGAGCTTTGGAGAAGTGCCTAAGCTCGGCCATTGGTGGACCAGGTCTGGCCACACTGGCCCTGAACCCTGGAAATTTTGCAACCAGGCTGGTTCAGCGGGTTTCCAGAATCAATTCTATGAGTGAATTGCTCTGCTAACCACCATTCCACCCGATGCTCGTTACAAAAAAACAGAGTGCAGACATGCACATCCTCGCGAGTTGTCAGAATCTCGCCGGGACGTGAACCTGGAGAGTATCACCACGGTGACCCATATGGATGGATGGATGGATGGATGGATGGATAAATAGAAACCGTCTTTGAATGTCTCACCTTAAACAGCTTTCACCTGGAAAATGAAGCGCATCCGCCGCCGGAACCAGGTGGCGTTCGAAACCTAGAGAGGCGCCTTGCGCAGGCGTGGTGTTGGGATCGTCAAGGGACGGAAAAGTTCCTCGTTAAGGTATTTGGGACGAAGGGACATCCTACCAGGACCATGGACCACCTATGGACCGAACGGATGGTCCTGGTAACATTTTGTACAGATCATGTATGTAATGTGCGCATACTTGTATTGATATTGAGTTGTTGAATCCATACATGGACTCATGCGTATGCCATGCAAAGACCCTCACCCCAAAGCTCACCTCACAACTCATAACTGTTTAATCAAACGCTGAACTTCATGTTTGCTGGGAGGGAGTCCTGGTCGTTTGTTTCTTGACGCTTGCTGGCAACTTCCTGGTTTTATTGGATTCACTGCACGACCCATGGCATCTTTGGCAATCCCCGAACGAGGTTTGCCGCTGGGCTGCCCTCCGGCTTGCGGAGAAGACGACCCCTGAGCTCTCGGAGGGGAAGACACTTGCCGCGGTGGGTGCGGAGGGGGGGGTGTTTGAAGATAGGGCAGGTAACCAAGAAGAGGGGCAACAGCGACAGCGAGGAGAAAGAATCAGAACTGTGGATTTATATACATACAAACAATTATATAATTATGTAATTTCAACCAGGGGATTCCAGAAGTGCGTGCGCCTTTTCTGGCCAACTATACAGGCTAAATGGATGTCTTCCAGTTGGTTGGAGGGATGTCCTTTTCAGCCGGATCTCGCCATTTTCCTAAGCTATTAAACCCCAGCCACGTCTCGCCACGCTTGGCCACGGTCGCGCCGAGGCTGGTTGTGGCCGTGGAGCATTTGCCTAGCATTTTGGGCGCTCAAGTCTTCGAGCCCGACGTTTCGGAGCGCTTAACTGTTGGCGTGGCCATGGGTTTGGGCGTCTCTGCCACTGGAGGTGTTTGATCTGCACGGGGTGGGAGGAGTGGTAGTTGAAGGGTGGAGGTAGGTCTTGGAGGTGAGATGTCAGTGGATAGAGATATGGATGGTGTCGGTGTGGTGTGATGTCTTTGTGATGGGATTTTTGCATGTTGTGCAAAGCACATGCTAAGTGGTGGGAGTGGTGGGAGTATGTATATACACAGCTGGTGCTAGTGAATTGTTTGGCATTGTTGTGGTTCAGGGTCATGATTCATGATCACATGTTATATATATGATACATCTTGCAATCAATCGCACAGTAGCAATCAGTTTTGGACCTGCTCTTCATGTGTTTTTGTTTTTCAGAAGACATACCGTCGAAAAGGGTCATTGACCCTGCTCACCCTGTGTGAAGCAAGACTGGCTCCATTTTTTAAGATAATGCCCAGCTGCTCAATCATGTCATGGGCGTCCTCTTCAGGGTGCATGAACCCATTTCAATCCACAAATTCACGCTGAGTGGATGTGGACGGAGACCATATAGAGATCTCAACTCTTTTGATTTTATGGCTTACGAGACGAACAAATGAGCAGAGAATGTCGACCTCTTGCTCTTTTCGGGGTGAAAGCAAACAATCAAATTGTAGGGAATTGTTGGAAAAGGATGCTTCGCTCGCAACAAATTCATCGATCATTGAATCATTCCCTTTTTTATACTGAACCACTTTGCACTCTCTATCTGTGAAAGCTCCCGAAGGGTCTCCGTTCGATCTTCAGGTGCATTGCTCTTCGTGGAGGCTTCGCGTAGCAAGGGCTCCGGGAAGCTGACAGTGACCGGCCAACTGGGAGAAGTCATGCAGGAGAGCGTCCGCACCGCCATGCCTCCTGGACCTTCTCCAGATGGTTCGCGGGCGCTTTTTGCTGTTTGGGTGGGATAGTCCGGGATAGTTCATCTGGAGCTCGCTTGTGTTGAACTTACACCGTCTCTCACTTACAAATGGAAGGTTTATCAGGGTGACGTACTAGACTCACTTGCGTTGGGACCCAAAGGACCACCACTGAGACACTCACTTGAAAGGTGCTCCAAGCACAAAAGTGCAACTGTGGATTGGCCCTTGCAATTTTTCATAATTTTTCAGGGTTGGAGAGCGTTTAAAAACAAGAGTTATGAACATGCTTATACACGTGTACAGGTGCCTGTTTGAACACCTGCTTTACCTGCCAGTGAGTGATCTCCAGAGACCTGTCACCTAAGATGGTATCGCCGCCTAGGGCAGCCGAAACTCTTGAATGGGCGCACTGCTTGGATGAAGAGACGTTGCTGAACATCAACAAAATGTTTAAGTGCGTTTTGACAACATCACACGTCACAGTGTGTGAGTTTTTCCACAAGCCCCAGCTGTCCTCCCGGCGCCTCCCAACCTTGACAGTTTGAGGTCGTTGCTGCGGAGTCGAATCTATTATGCAGCCTGGGGTTCTGAACGTCCCCGTGTGGAATCCCCTTTAGAACCCATCAGGCGAGCGCTTTCATGAAGTGTGGAGCATGGGGACCCAAGCGTGAAAAGGTAGGGTGTCAGTATTGGAGTTCGATACTCGAAACATAGAGCACCGATTGGGTACTCGTGGATTCTGCTTCAGTGCACGGTGATATGGGGTATATCAACAGAAGCTGTGATGAGTCGAGCGGGGCATCTTTGTACTTGTAGGGCTTGGTGGCTACAGTTCATATAGGTTTTATGATGTTTTTTGGCTTTGGATCCATATCGTAGACAGTTGCTTTAAGCTGTGGAGTTTTTAAAATGCACTGCAGCTTTGAGCTGGAACGGTGGCTCCACGGAGGCTGAGCTCCGACAGCATCTTGTCCAAGTGGGCGAGGCCGATTCCGTCAATATGTTCCTGCATTTGAGGTGGACTCCTACATGTGTATGTCCATGATGTTCTCTCAATGTGTTGCGCCAGTTTTGAGAGGTTTGGGCGCATGCAAATTTTTGTTCTAGTAGTTCAATCATTGAATGGTGTTTATTTATTCCTTGCAATTTGAAGAACTGATATGCCAAGGTTTGACCCACGCCCCTTTTTAAGATGGTCCATTGAGCATTCTGATGCAGAAATGGCAGAAGTGCTGACTCTGCATAACAAGACTAAGCCAGACGAACACAACTACTTTCGTTCTCTTTGGAGTTTGTTTTCAGCGGTCATTCTTCCCAACAAGAAGAAATGCTTCGTGAAAATTGAAGATTGAAGTGGTCAGTCATCTTTCTTGCGTCAGGGATGAGCACAAGGCTCAAGATCCTTTCGGAGGGGACGACATCCACGTGCATTTTCCTGCAGGTGGTCCGGGGCGTGATGGCGATGTCTAAAACTAAAAAAAGGAGAGGAGCAAGCACTCAATTTGACTCAATTTTGGAGATACTCAAGAGAAGCGCTCAAGTTCATCCAAGCCAAGCGTAGAATTCAGCATGTCGGTGCGGCATAAAACTGACGTCCTTTTCAGTCTTGCAGACTGCCCACATCATGTTATTTTTGACATGGTTTGAGGGTCCAAACATGCATGGATGCCTTGTGCATGTGGTTTCCTTCAGCAATTGTTTGGTGCTTTTCAGGGTGGGCAGATATCGGTTTCTTCTCTGTGGCTGCCAGAGGATTCACTTTGGTAGCCCCTCTTCTCAGCAGCCTTGCTTTGCAATCTGAAATTGCGGTTTGGTGAGAGAAACAAGATGGCCACAAGGTAGATTCGTCCCCACTCTGAGACCCACTAGCAAACGGCTTGTCTCAAAAACTTGAGGGCCCCATCCTCTTTTCCCCTTGCTACAGTAATTATTTGAATTTATTCTTGAGTGAGGACTCATTCTTCCTCCCATTGTGGTTCCCCAAATGCACAAGCATTGTTTTTAGTTGTTTGATGTTGTTTGGGTAGTTTCCCTTCACCCAGACTGAGTCCAAGAGACGACATTTGAAGACCTTCCAGGTGCCATCCCGAAGGATGGCCCTTCTGCGGGTGTGGCGACCGTCCTGGCGTTGGCCTCCCTGCTGCTGGCGCGGTGTCGCTGTGGCGCCGTGGAGCCGGTGTTGCAACGGTGTTGCAACGGTGTTCCTGGTTGGTTTATGATGTTTATGGTTTGGAGGAAGGAATCGAAACTGTGATCCCTCTACTAGGTTTTACATGGCTTTGCCTTCAAGCCTAATCCGAGCTGGAAGCTTCGATAGGTATAAGTATCATGAAGTATTTATACAGCAGTAAAGCCAGAGAAACTTCTCGTATCACGGCGTCTTTGTGATCATGTGCACTTGCACTAATCCATTCTTTGATCAGTAAGCACCCAACTTGAGCCTAGAAGCACCGGTTTGTTTTGCATCTGTTCAACGTGCGGGTCACCACTGGGTTCCAGGTGTGAGTAGATGAGAACAGGTCCAGGTCGCATGCAATCTGCCCATGTGTGGCTGGACGTAGAGGGGCGCTGTAACACAGGTGAATGAATGTGTTGTTTAGTGAAGCTTCGTGTTGAAAATCATCTTTGCCGTTGATGGAGAAGACCCTACACCACTTTTCAGAATGATGGGCTTGCTCCGTGGCCAGGATCGTCCTGTGCGGAGCGACACCGCGGTGACGGGGGAGATCACCCTGCGAGGGCATATCTTGCCAGTGGGTGGCATTCGAGACAAGGCGATGTTTTTTCGCTCCGACGAGCTTTTCATTTTAGAGATGGTGAGCGAATTCTACCGGAGTAGATTCACCCGGGTTTCAGCTCCAGGTCCTGGCCGCGCACAGAGCCGGAATCCGGCACGTGCTGGTGCCCTTTGGCAACCAGAGGCACGTGCACTGTCGCGATAGGACGGAGCTTTCGATCTACCGAAAGCGCAATGCCCCGACCTGAATGCGAGTTTTCCAGGCGCTTTGGGCAATTTTAATCGGTGAAAGTCTAAGAAACTACAATTCGGCTTTCAAGTCCACAAAATCCTGCGGAAGAGACCTGGCCCTGGTGTAGGTCCTTCAAATGGTCGCCCATGTGTGCGCCAGGCATGTCTTCGATGAGATTCCTGAAGCGGCACTCTCCGATGTGGAAGTGAAGTACGTGACGTGCTTGGATGTTTTTAGAGATGGGAACCACCCGTCCGGTGGGTACGGAAATGGTGCTGGAGGTCTGGTTGGTTCAGCAAGTCAAAGAAGAGAAAATGCAAAAAAAATCCTCAGCGAAGCATTTCTCACTTCGCTGGATCCCCGCGCTTGGGTCGATTCATGAACCGGTCCTATCACTCGTCATCACTCGTCATGATTACAAACAGTCATCACTCGTCATCTTGTCACTGCTTCCGTGCTGACCGCAAACAATTTGAGCAGCAGCCCACACATGGAGTTCAAAGTGCAAACGTTTGACGATCATTTGGAATTGGAGGCCATCGCTCTTAGGTTCCTTTTGCTATTAGGTTGGAGGCCATTGCTATGATGAGCGAAGTTCGACATATCTTCCCTGTGTCTCGAGCCATCCCAGACCTCGGACCCTGAAATCGAGGGACCCCCCAGTGAACATAATTCCCAAAAGCATACTGCGCACAGTTTCACCCCGAAACTGGATATTTGAAGTCAGAGTTTCGAGGGGCTAATGCCGCTGCTCCAACGGGTTTCTTCCAACCTTGGACTTCAGAGTTGTGGTAGAAGATGGTGACCTATAGAGCGGAGACCATCAGTTGCTGTAAGACCTGGATTCACAGAGCTAGGAGACCAGACGTGTTTTCTCACAAGGAATCCTGGTGCTCGCCAACAGGAAAACTGTTTGCCCTTTGTTTCGCTCTTTGACATTAATTTGGAGCCTGCCGCAATCAGCCGCACTTCGAGGTGAAGCACATCGACCAAGCCTTGGCTTGGGCCTTTGAAGAGCAGCAGGACAGAAGACAGGAAGATTGTGCAATGATTGATACAGAACGCAAACATATTGTAGTTTCAAGATTGGTCAAAACATGTCAAACGTGTAATTTCCCCCAAATCCTGTTTATGTTGAGAAACACTGGATGATCCAAAGCAGTTGGGTAGTTTCACTGTTATCCAATCCAAGGAATCCACGTGACATTTGGAGAACTTGGCTGAAATCCCGCAGTGGACGTAGAAAAGCCCTCTATAGTGGTGGTTTTTGTGCTTGTTTGATCTTGTTTGTACTTTAGGCCACTAAGGTATCCATTTATCCGGGTAGATCACCTCGTGTGCTTTCCAGGAACACAGCTTTCCTCCCAGCGACCCCAAGATGCCCAGGGCCAAGCTCTGAGCTGGATCTTCCCTTGGGGGTCTGCCGAGATGCAAGTCTCAAAGCGACCCGACGTGGTGGGAGTAGGAGGACCTCAGATGGACAGGATTATGGCATACTTCACATTTAGCCGAAGAGTTCTGACAGGTCCACTTTTGTGAATGTCAAGCAGTTGAAAGTATAGGGATCAAGACCTGAGAAGTACAGTAGGGTGTGTGTGAATTGATTAGTTGCCATGAGATGCCCAGGTGCCATATGATCGTGGCCCCATGTTTCCATGCAGACTTCACCCATTTTGATTGATGTTGATTGCGCAAACTGTTGGGAGTCCAATTCAACTGTCAACGCGAGCAGGCAAGAAGCTGTTAGTTGAAGGATACCAAGTGGTCCGTGTGAGATGATTTCAAAACACTGCTGAAAATGCATCACAACACTAATTCCGCCGAGCGACGATGGTTCGTGTGAAAAGCATCGCAGACCATCATGGATCATCACGTGCGGATGAAAATACTTCATGAGGTGTTTAGCACCTCGAGGCGTCAAGCAGACGCAGCTTCACGGTCAATGCGAAAGACTCAACTGATGGGCAAGCTAAAGCTTACAGCGCAACAGTAATTTGGAGGGTGGTTTGGCGATCACGTCAACCCAAGTCCCAAACAGCGATAGAGAATCAAATGCCTCACTTCAAGCCTACATCCTGTATTTTCACTCCATGTAATATGTACACTTTGTACCTTGCACATAGTAGGATGTCATGTAGACTTACCTTCGCAGCTCGCGGCCCAAAACAGGAGTTGCAGCTTAACGGCTGTTTCTATAGGTTATCAGCCGTAGTGCTCTAACCACAGCCATGGACGCTCTTGCTATTCCTGGGAACGGTACATCATCGGTAGCAGTCCCAGCCGGTCTCATGACTGAGCCCACGGTGGATCTAGATGACCCCATGGGTTCAGCTCCTGTCACAGCTTACTTTCAGTTCGTGCAGCAAAACATCCAACAAGTGTACAACGGAAACGAAGACGCTATCATTGCTGAGGCAGAGAGAAGGCACAAAGAGATAATGGGACAATGGCTGGACATGGTAAAAACCAAGTTTCGTCAAGCAGTCGATGAAGTAGCGAGCAAGCATCATGAGGAACTCAGTTCGGTAAGGCAACAAGCTCAATCTAGCTACAACCAAGTGCAAGGGGAACTAAGTGCTGCAAAAGCGCGAATCCTTAAGCTAGAGAGTGAAAGGTCCATTGAAGCTGAAGCCAGAAAAGCAGAACTGGACTCCTTGCGCATTCAGCTCATGCACGATTGTCAGCAAACTGTCACTGCCATCACCAGTGGTGCCGAGCAAGGTGTGGCAACGCTTCGTGCAGAGTTCGATGAGCGGGAAACTCAGCTTCGACGTGAGCTACGTGATGCAGAAAATGAAAACTATAGTCTGCAGCAAATGCTCGATGACCTTAAAGCCAAAATGCATGCTGGACCCGAGCTAGAGTATCATCCAACAAGTGTCATGAACACACCAGTGTCTACCCCTAGGCATGATGACACAAAGAGGAGAAATCCTCTGGAGACCATTGCAGCAGAGGCTACTGCACGTTTGAGTGGACTGTTCGCACCCAAAGCGCCGACGGCCACCATCATCGGTGATGCCCCACGAGGGGCAGCTGCTCCTATCAAGCCTGTGCTTCCAGTTTACGGAGGCACCGCAGCGGATGGGGGCAAAACACCGACAAATTTGTTCCATAGCCCTGCACCTTCAATTCGCGAACCCCATAAGCCAGCGTCATCAGGTGCTATCACCTCTGAGCAGGTGATTGAACTGGTCAAGTCACTCACTCAGAGAGAGTCAGATGAGAAGCCAAAGGTAAAGGAGGCAGATCATATCAAGTTGAATGACATGCCAACCCCTGAAACCTATCGGCAATGGAAACATCATGTGAGGGACGAAATCAAGTCATGTTCTGACAAACCAGATGCTGCCTGGGACTGGTTAATGGAGGTTTACAACACTGTCGATGAGAGAAAAGTTCTGGAAGAGCGGTTGTCTAACCCTGGGAAGTTCACAACGTTGGATACCAAGTTGGCAGCTGCACTGACCAGAAGTGCAAAGGGTGATCTAGCAAACCGAATCATCAATTACAAAGAAGAGAAGGCAAAGCTAGGCATCCAGGTTCGAGGAAGGATGATTCTTCTCATGTTCGATGACTATTTCAAGACCTCGGAAGAAGCGGGTAGCCTCTATAGGGTTGAAGATCTCCTCAATGTGGTAAAGGTAGGCGATACTGTAGCGGACTTGAAGCGTTTCATCAACCGCTGGGACGCTACCATCGCTGGTATGCCCGAACCACCGCACGAAAATGTGCTTCGAGACATCCTTTTAAGGCAGATCCGCACTAGCACAATCCTGAGGTACGACATCGATCTCTTCGATCGCGCAAAAGAAGGTGACCATCATCGGTCTTACAAGTTCCTACTGCAAAGTATTAAGGATCTGATAGATCGGGAACGCCTTCGTGAGAATCGATCACGTATCGCTGAGCGAAATCGGCTCAAGCCAGGTGATCGACATGAGAAGAATGCAGCCCCTACTGTTGATCCTCGGCGAAAGCGTTCGCCATCGCGCGGACGATCTACTTCTCGGGAGAAGGGCGTTTGTTGGGCCTTTTTGGAGGGAAAGTGTGCAAAAGGGAAAGATTGCAAGTTCAAGCATGAAAAGCCCAAGCGCGATCCTTCCAAGAAGCGCCAACCATCCCGGGAGCGGAATGAGTCGAGGGACAAAAGCACAGATAAGGAAAAGAAGCGAATGACTAAGGAGGAGATGGCAAAGACCCCATGCAGGTACGATCAACAAGGTACATGCAGAAGAGGAGACAAGTGCTTTTTCAAACATGGAGAAAAGGCAGCACCGGCTCCGAAAACGAAACCAAGAAAGGACTCCCCAAAGCCAAAGGCGAAAGGAGATACCAAGAAGGCTGCCATTTGCCTGAGCAATCGGTTTGCATGTCTTGCGACTGGTGTGCCCGGACGGTCATGTCTCAAGAAGTCCTGTCTTCCTCCAGCGAGAAAGAGGTCTAAGTCGTCTGTCCGAAGGACTACATTCGTTATGAAACCTGAAATTCGCATCATCCCTGCTCGCGGGGAACATTGTAAGATGGTCAAGCGTGAGCGCAAGTACAGCGTGCATTTTGCCACGAGCGATCGCGTGCCCAAGAGCGACCCAAAGGCAGCCCACATGGCCAAAGTAAAAGCTAGGCAGTTGGCTGAAGTTGTTCGAAGCTTTGATAGCGCAACAGTGCCCTCATGTCGTTTTCTGTGCACCGAATCGTCGCTTACTTGTCGTGAGTGCCGAAGCTTAATCAAGTTGAAAACATGTCCTACTACCATCCCGACTATCGTTGCTGGTCCAGCACCAAGGGAAGGCAGGTTCTCATGGCTTGTCGATTCTGGGAGTGAGCAAGACCTCCTCAGCAGGAAAGTTATGGATGCTGCTGGTGCGGAGAACCCAAGACGGGCTCCTCACACCATCAGTCTGATTACTGCGAATGGGTCGACTGAAGCCAGTGAGGTAGCTGACGTCAAGATGAAGCAGCTACTGGAGCCT